CAGACGGACAAATGTCCGTTTGGTCCGTTTATTCGGGGGATTCCTATGAGTCGGTTTTTGCAGGGAATCTGAAAACATGGAATTGTGGGCTTGGACTATCAAACGTCTGAGCGCCACGAAAATCCCATACTGAATCCTGCGGGAGTTCTGTACGTGGGTTTTGTACCGGCCTTTCTGGATTGCAAACATCCAGTAAAGGTTTGGGAAATTTGAGTTTTCGTGCAAGGCTTTTGCTTTGCCCATTCCATGTAGATAACAAGTCTTTTAGAATAGTTATTTCCTGTAGAGATGATTATTTCCTATTAGGCGGATCGGAGATCGCTATGGTCGGTGCCTCTGCATGACAACTTGATGGGTCGCATGTTGGCACGGCTGGTTGGCAATGTTGGCTTTATGGGCCACAAAGTTGTCAATCGGTTTGGACGACGACAAGCCTGTCGCTTGTCTGATGTCCGCCAGAACCGAAATCCAACTAAAAGTTTATTCAACTTTACCCACTGGATACAAGCCGAAACTTGATTCTACTGCCTTTGTCAATGATGACACTGGTATTCTTTACATGCAGCTCATCGGCATTCTCCGCTGGCTTGTGGAACTTGATCGTATCGATATCGCCGCCAAAGTTTCTATGCTCTTGTCCTACAATGCAATGCCTTGTGAAGGTCACTTTCATGCTGCCTTACATATTTTCGCCTATTTACAGAAGCACCCTGATCATATACTTGTGATGGATTGTAATTATGCTGATCATTGTTGGGATATGACGAAATATGAGTTTTTACGTTCCAAGAAAAACTATTCAAGTACGCAATTTTTGACATGCACGATCGGATTTTGATCGTGATGTCGGGATTCGACGCAAGTCTGCCGGACAATCTATATCCACACGAAAAGGGAAAAACCCAATACAAGTGGAATATTGATGTTGTGTACGATACAGTAGGGAATAATACAAGATGTCCCAAAGTACTGCATTTGACACAGAATCCTGGTAGAAGCCGAATCGAGTTCTGTAAACAAGGGATTTTCCAAGGGAAAATCGTTGAACTCACGTTTGTGATTGAATCATCAATTCAAGCCAAACATTAATCAAATAGGAACAATTTCACTCAAAGTATACCTAACACAGGAGAACTATTGTCCTGAAAGTGTTGTACAGTCGATTACAAATTTAGATTGCAGAGAGTTTGTTCTGAGCGCTAAAGGCACTCACGATAGAGCACATTTTGCTTTATTCTAACATTCAATCACAAAAGGCAACAAAAAGAAAACACGTCAAGAACAGCACTGCCTTATCTACAAAGGAGTGAGTGATTCGTTGACGATGGGACATTCTTCATCCGGTGGTGGAAGAGGACGTGTGACTCCTCAGAAAGTCAAGAGCAATACAAGTTCAACAGATGTGAAACATCTATTTTCAACAAAAGATGAAAACAATGGAAAGGCAAGATCGTCGTACAAAGATGCCAAAGAAAGAGTGATTGACTACATCCAAGCTTCTGGAATGAAATGCTCCGAAGACATGGTGAAATCGATTCAAGATGGGAAGGCTATCGACTTCAACGCAATCGCTCCAACATTGAATGCTCCAACTCAAACTGAAGCTGTTGCAAGAGACACAGAGACGGCTCAAAATAAGATTCTCTATTCTGCAAAGCTCAACAAGAACATGCGAAGATCAGCCTACTTCAAAACAAACAAGAGAACTGTGAAGTCAAACATCATGCTTAAGTTTGTGACGAAGGCGATGGATATCAAGCTTTGAGGTGAAGCCGATTTTACGACTACTCTTGAAGATCCAATCAAACTCTTGAAACATATTGAACGATTCATGAAGAAGAGTGCCGATGCTGAGTATGACTTCTTAGATTTCTGGGAAGCCAATCAAAAGTTCATTGCTATGAAGCAAGGAACAACAGAAAACTTGATGCATTTCAAGGAACAATTCTTGAGACAGGCTGAAGTCCTACAAGATCTATATGGCGTTGCCTGGTTCCAAAATTTTGCAGTCAAGACGAAAGCGTATGCTGCTATTGCTAGCACCGATACTGCTGCCAAAGACAAGTTCAAGGATGATATCTTTGAAGCCGTTCTTGCAACAGGATTCCTGTGCAACTGCGATCAAACAAGAAGAGCTCCTCTGATGCTGGATCTTCAGACAAACTACTGCAGGGAAGTGGATTATTATCCAAAGACGGTCAGCAAAGCACAAGATATGTTGAAGATTCACATGGATGTGATCAAGATCCGAAAGTGAACCTTTACCAAGGAAAAGACCAGCCAAATAAAGGTAAAGGTAAAGGTAAAGGTGAAGGTGAAAGTAAAGGTGAAGGTAAAGGTAAAGGTGAACAAGGTAAAGGTAAAGGTAAAGGTAAAGGTAAAGGTAAAGGTAAACCAAAGGACAATAAGATAAGGCAGCATGTTATGTATGTGGCAAAGAGGACCATATGTCTCCAAAATGCCCAGACAGACTGCTACCAGAGAGTCAATTGAATCATCCGAAACACTATGTTGATTACGGGAAGAAGCTCAATCTTAATCAGATTGGAGCAACTGTCCCAACTACAGCTACAGTTGCTGGAACTTCTCCAGCAGATCAAGGTATGCAGTTTATTCAAAGCTGCAGAATCGAAAGAGATCCGTTTGGTTTGCTCGATCACGTCATCATGGACAGTGGTTGCACCAACACCACCATTTGTAATGGTGAACTCATGCATGGACTACGCTCATGCATGGACTACGTCAAGCTGAGAAAGAGCTCGATATGCACACTAACGTGGGCAGCAGAGTTCTCAATGAAGAAGGATTTCTAGGAAGATTTCCGTCTCCAGTCTATTATGATGAAGACGGAATCGCCAATGTACTTGCTATGCGCGAGATGATTGCTGCAGGATACCGCATTACCATGGATACTGATTTTGACAATGCCTTTGTTGTGCATTGCGATGGAGACAGACAGATGCGATTTGTGAATCGTAAGGGTGTATATGTGTTGGAGCAACTTGGAGCGGATGTCGAACCAGGTGCCAAAGAGACAAGTGCGATGTATTGTCGCCAGTTAAGCAGCATAAATAAACAACCCCATTTCGAACTTTCTTCAAAACAGAATGGATATGCTGGACTTGGGATGACTGCGAAGATGGCAACAGTTCGAAAGAACAAGGAAGGATTCACTCCAAGACAAGTCAAGGCTGCGATGGAAGCGAGAAGTGCGATGCACATACTCAATGCTCCAAGCACCAAAAGTCTGAAGTATGCGATCC